GCAATTTATATACAATCGATGATACGAACACAATATATCTAAATAATAATATTCTAATGGTCGATATATTCGATGTCTATGCCAAAAACTGTTTCCTCTCTCTTCACTTATTTACTGATAAAGTGACTTACTATAGTCCTCCGTCGCAGAATTACTTCGTTTTCTTGGAAATTTTTTAATATGATAGTTGTTTTAAGATGTCGCGGTTCTTAAAAGTTTCTAAAATAGATCATCTGGTTGTCGATCCTGCTCTTGATGTTATGCTGCTCAAGAAATGGCATGAAAAAGATAGACATCGCCGAAATAAACTAAAGCTGATCTTTGTTGATATTCATGTAAGTTTATTCATCAAATCTGTAATTAAATGTTGCTTCTTTTCATATCTCATACGATTTATACATGTTATGTTTGAATCTTGCATGATTATGCAGGGGTCTAAGATACAGGCTTCCATTGGACATAAATACATCCATTTATTTGAACATGATCTTATAATAGTTCACTGGAGTCTTTTGAGTGGTTTTGTAGTTAAGACTTCGAATGCTATAACTCGTGTAGTAAGGCATCCTTTTAAGGTGAAGTTCGTTACCAATACAATGTTTCTTACGGTCAGCAAGCGTATAAATTCTCTGTTTTTATCATTCGCTGATTTTGGAGATGTTCTTGGAGGCCGTCTCGATGACACGTATAGTATCGGTAACTTCTTCGTTTATGAATAATAGATCTGATTACCATAAAAGGTAAGAAAGAGTTGCTGAAATTTGACTATCCAATTTCTACAGAATTAATAGGTGTTCTTGTGAATGTTGGTGAGCTCGATATTTTTGATGAGACGAAGATACAAGAAGATTACGCTGTAATTCCTTTTAAGCTTCAAGATGACAGGTAAATGAATTGAATATTCAGCATGAACAATAACAATGTATCTCATTGTTTGAATATTTTCTTGTGTAGAAAACGTGTGATCGACTATTATGCGATGGGGAAATTGGCTGAAGATTTTACATTACAATGGAAACAAAGTCACAGTGTAGAAGTTATCTGTATCCTGAGGTGGTGGACTATCAATAAAAATTATGACGGTATTATCTTATTATATACAATTGGTATTGTTCACATATTACAATAGATTACTCTTCAGTGAATTACTGTATTAAATCTTTCTAATAGGTATTTTTAATGTCATCGCAAGAAAGAAGTATTGTGAATTTATTTTCAATGCAGACATTCCAGATGTTCATCGGTTTCGTGATAGGTAATATTACTATATTCAGAAATTTTAATTAGATTATCTAATGTATCTTTAGTAATATAATGGATCTAATTGCAGGTTACAATGTGACGAAGAGGTTTACACTGCAAGGTGTGTTTCGAGATATCCATCGACAGAGATTCTATGACTCGTGGGAAAGAATGGTTTCACTTTATATGTTAGTTTGAGTGTCTTTTTCTTGGTGGATTTATTATGTTTCTTTTGCCTGCTTCTACATTTGAACAAAAGAATTGGTAATGGTAATGTCTATTCCTAAAAATTACATTTGGATTTTAATGCATGGAACAAGTTATTTAGCTAATTTATTAATTTTTACTTGATTTAATTGGAAATAAGCAGCATAGTAGTTACGCTTCCACCAACTAAAATTCGTAACAACTACATCAGCCCAGTAATAAAAAAGGCCATTCGGTAGACCTGGTGACAAAGAATTTTCAAGTTCTAAAAATTAATATGAAACGTTACTATTCTAATTTCTGAATTTTAATGGCTAAAATCTGTCTTGAAGAATGCGAACTGTCACGAATGACAAAAACTCTGAACAGTTTGGTTCTTTTCATTTATTCTATACATGCACAATGATTCGAATTTTGACAATGTAACTTTTCGATATCCGACTTATTTTCGAGACTCTACTATAAAGAAGCAATCGGCGCAGTCAGTTCTTAGCATAACAGACTAAAATATTTTCGATATATACAAAGAAAAAGATATCTTTAATCAAATTTAGACTGTTTTCTGAAAGCTTATAATGGCTGGTGTCTCTAGAATTAGTGAGTTGTGTTCTTCAAGAACTGATTGGACTATAAGAGTAATGATTTACAAAAGATGGGTTGAATTAATACCAGATGGTGGCGACGTTCTTCATTTCATTCTCCTTGATGACCAGGTAATTCTTCTTGCTAGATTTTCGCTTGCTTTTGTTTACTTCAATTTGGATTTTTTATTTGTAAAAAAAAAATTGTATATGTTATAGGGTTCGAAAATTCAAGCAACAGTAGGGAGTGAAGAAATGATTTCTTTTTTTATAAAGAGGCTCCATGAGGGGGGCATATGGAAAAGAATACGAAATTTCAATGTAATATTTGCGAGATCGGCGAGACAAATGACAAAGAATTGTTTGAAGATTGAGTTTCAATCTAACACTAAAATCTTGGAAGATTTCACAACTGAAAATTTCTACAATGGAGACTATCCACATATGCAGATTCTTAGTTACGAGAATCTCTATCTTGGCAACTTTCAACGAAATTGTCCTGTTGGTGAGTCTTCCTCGATATTACTCGTTATAATTTTAGATCGATAATTCCATTTTTAGATGTTTTTCTTCTGAAACAATACTTACAGATTTAGTTGGTGCTGTTGAACCGGTTGGCGAACTTGAGTTGGTTAGAGATTGCTCGTTTGAAGTTTTTGAGTCAAAAATGACATCAAAGATTGAGTTTACATTGATAGATGAAATGTAAGTGTTTATTTATATTTTAATACTAAATCTACTTCGTTTTATTGTATGGAACAACTCAATCTAATATTGTTTTAGTGAAAGAATGATAACATGTTATGCATATGGAAAATTGGCTATTGAGTTCAACGACAGGTGGTATTGTTGTAATGAACAGCAGTTGGTTATTTGCGTTCTAAGTGACTGGCGAGTCGTTATATACAATGGTACCAATCATCTCTAACTATCTGAAGTTTATTTACTTAATACTTTAGAAAATCGTAATTTTTAATGATCTCTAATCATATCAAAACTTTTTTGTAGAGGAATATCACGTTTCTGATCAAGCGGGCATCTCAAGGGTTTTGTTCAATCCTGATCTTCAAGAGGCACTTAAGTTACGGGATATGCTGTAAGATAACTATATTTTAGAAATTAATATTATTTATAATGTATGATAATGATCAACTATTATCGTAACTAATCTGTTTTGTATATGCTTGAATAGGATCGGAGATAATGAAGATGATGCAGACGAAGAAGAAAATCATTTGGATATAAATTAGTAGAGATTTGATTTGTGCAATTCTTATAATATCATTTGTTTTAATTTTTTTCTTATGTTTAAAGTGATACCATCGGATAGTAAATGTTCATTGTCCGCGCCATGTGCGGGCCACCATCTAGTTTTTTTTTAATTAGACCAGGGATTAAGTTATGATTATAGTAGGTTAACAAGCTGTTTATTTTATCTTAATGTCTATATTATTTCTTGAATAGTTGGCTATCTATTAAAATTACTAGATGAGTATCCGCGCGATGCGCGGATATTTTTTTATAAAATAATTTATTAAAAAGTGTAGTTACAATTTATTTTATCGTATATTTAAAATTTTTTAAATGATATTATGTATTTGAATATACATACAATACATATTTACAAATTATGTGGATATTAACTATATATGTGATCAATAGTTTATTGATAAGAAAATGTGAAATATATTTTATCTTGTATATATAGAATATATTAAATGGATATAGTGCAAATCAGAGATGTACTTTATAACAAAAATTAATTAGAGAAACTCTTCAAGCAAAACATAGATAGAAACAACTCTTTTTAACATGTCATACTTGTTCACGGCGTACATTTACACAATAGCAATGCCATGGTTTTATATTTTTATGAGCTTAAATAATTAAATTATAATTCTAATTTATACAGATGCGTTAAATATTTTAAAATTATCAATAAATCAAGTTTTGAATAAAATAAATTATCAAATAATTATTAGTTTATAAAAAAATTATTTTAAAGTTTATTATAATATTATATAAATTTTTCTTCTAACTTTTTAAAGTTCAAGATATCAAATAATTGTTATTTTTATATTTGTATAATTTTTTTATAATAATATCTTATAATATTAAATAAAAATAAGAAAACACTCTTAAATATAAAACATAAATTTTGTTAATGATTTTTAAAAATTACCACAAAATAGATATTCAATAATTTATATATATTGTTCTTAAAATATATTATATAATTCTTCATATTTAATATATTAAATTTATGCATTAACTGTATTTTATATAATTTGTATCATTAAATTTTTAAAAATGACACATGTCATTTCTACAATAAACCAAAATGATGAGTTAGCATTCATATGGAGAGAGTTGGTCATCTTTTATAATATAGATATCTTGTATATAAAGTTGTCTTTTAATAAAAAAAATATTTACGCCACGTTTCTTGACAGTTATTATATGAGTTTAAAACATATATGATTATCTTTTAAGTTGACCAAATTTTTTTTTCTGTAAGTTTTAATTAACTGTTTTCTTATGGAACTACTAGTGAACCTTACACATGTGATAAATCTTGGTATAAAAAATCTCATTTTACACTTTCTCAAGTATTCTTTGTTTTTTTCTGCTCAAGGTTTTTTGATTTAAATGCTAAGAAATATTACGACTTACAAGATATGACCTTTTAGAGCCATATAATTTAGTAGACTAGATAATAAGTTTATGCTTACACTATTTCAAGTATTTTCAAATTATAACATAACATGATTGACTATGACTATGCTCCGATCGATCAAATTTTAATTGTTAGCATGGTTCAAAAACTCTTTAAATATCTTACTTTCTTTGAACAAAAGATTGAATTTGAGCAAATATTTGCCAGCGCTGAACTCAAGCCAACCCTCATTATTCCTTTAACAACGTTTCCTACGTTATGATTTATTAATTTGTTTAATACAATGCGACTTTATGAGGTATATCTTTATACAAAATCAAATTGTTGACAACTCATTCGGTTAGGAAGCTTCTCACGATATATTTTCAGTTTTTCTGTTCCAGCTTTTTTTAATTTAATGATTGCAAATTATTTCTCAATTATTAAATATTTTGGACCATTTCGTTAATACAAATCTTTTTGACCTTTTTTGAATAAATAATATTTTTTCTTAATAATTGATGGGCCTTTTATTATTTTTGGACTATGCTCACTCTTTCTTCTTTTGCCCGAACAAAGTCCTGTCCGATTCCGTTTGCTAAAATTTTCTCTTAGGACAATTAAACATCATGTAGTTCTTAATACTTGAAAACGTCACAAAGTTCTTACTTGGAAAACCAAAACCTTTCTAATTCTGAATACCCGAATCGTCTCTCTTCTCCCAGGTCATGGATACGCGGGAAAGAACACAAGCGAAAATAAAAACTTCAGTGATTCATGATCATGCCGCACTTGCATCGGTCTAATCGCTTGTGGCTTTTGTGAATTAGTGTTTTTCTCCTTCGATTCTATCAACGTGTATATATCATTATTGTACAGCTTTCGGTTATGAGCGGTTTTATCAGTAGATTAGATTGGTTTAGATTAGTTTAATGTATATCGAATGTATATATATAGTTTGTACCAACATTATTCAGATTAATGAGAATATCGAGTTTACATTTTGTTGATTAAAGTGTAAACACTAATATGGTATCAGAGCATTTTTTCGCTCAATTTCTCTGATTTTTCTCATTTTCCTGCGAAAATTCTTCGTTTTCATCATCTTTTGCAATCCTGAAACTGGATCGATCATCAATTTGACCTCGAATCTTCTTGATTTCATCCTCGGAAGCTTTGTTTGGCATTTGGAATTCTCGAATCCTCCTCAGATCTGCTCCAATGGTGAAACAAGGTCGTAAAGCACGAAATCGCCTCTCATCCTCTCCGGAAAAGACTCTGATAAGTCATCTTCATGCCGAAGAGAATATCGCGATCACTCCGTATACTGGATTCACGGCGAATCGTTCTTCTCAACTTCGATCGGCTAAATCTCAGTCACAGATTGAAGCGTACGACAACGTACATAGTCCTTTCTTCCTTCATTCCGGCGATCATCCAGGTCTGTCTATTGTCACTCATGTTCTTGACGGATCAAACTACAATAACTGGTCAATTGCGATGCGTATGAGTCTTGATGCGAAGAACAAGCTCAGTTTCGTTGACGGATCTCTCCCTAGGCCAGATATATATGATGATTTGTTCAAGATCTGGAGTAGATGCAATAGTATGGTTAAAGCCTGGGTGTTGAATGTAGTGAATAAAGAGATTTACGATAGTATACTCTACTATGAAGATGCAATGGAAATGTGGAATGATTTGTTCTTAAGGTTCAGAGTTAGCAATCTCCCGAGGAAATATCAGCTGGAACAATCCATCATGTCTCTTAAGCAAGGGAACCTTGATCTCTCTACATACTACACGAAGAAGAAGACGCTTTGGGAACAATTAGCCAACACCAAGACCACTACGGTGAAACGTTACAACTGTGATCACGTCAAGGAACTCTTAGAAGAAGCTGAGACTAGCCGGATCATCCAGTTCCTCATGGGGTTAAATGATAACTTTGCGAGCATAAGGGGGCAAATCCTCAACATGAAGCCACGCCCTGGATTGACAGCAATATACAACATGCTTGATCAAGATGAAAGCCAACGTTTAGTTGGAGGACTGCAACAGAACACGTTCTCTAATCCAACAGCCTTTCAAGCTCAAGCCTTTCATAATGCTGATCAATCACAGATTCTCTTGGCTCAAGGTGGATATCAGAAACCGAAATGTTCGCATTGTCACAAGACGGGACATACAGCTGATAAGTGTTACAAACTGCATGGGTACCCTCCGGGTTATACTCCAAAGTGGAAGAAGGATCAATCCATTGGTGCCACTAACATGACAGCAACACAATTTCAGAGTCAACCCGAGTCAAAAGGTGATAACCTCTCTTCTTATGAGGAAATGTCCAAGGATCAGATACACACTATGATCTCGTATCTAAGCTCTAAGCTTCACATCAATGCGGAATCCACACCTGATCAGACTTGTGCCTCGACTTCGACCTCTGTACCAGTTGTTTCACAGATTTCTGGTACATTCCTAAATCTTTACTCTAACTCCTATTATGACATGCTCGTATCTTCAGTATCTAAGGAACCAGCTGTGTCTCTTAGGGTTTGGGTAATAGATTCTGGAGCTACTCATCATGTCACTCATAGTATAGACCTTTATGTAGAGTATCGTAACCTAGAGAACACCTTTGTCACCCTTCCCAATGGCTATACTGTTCGAATAGTGGGCATAGGACTCATTCGGTTAACTGATGCTATCTCTCTGCATAATGTGCTTTACATTCCTGAGTTTAAATTCAATTTGATATATGTTAGTGTCTTGACTAAAACTTTGTGTTCTAAGGTTAGTTTCACTTCGGATCATTGGTTTATTCAGGAACTTACAAAGGAGTTGATGATTGGTCAAGGTAGTCAAGTCGGCAATTTATACATCTTGGATATACATGAGTCAAACAAGTCCTTTTCTTTACAAGGTACTACCATCTGTTCCTCTCCACCAGTTTGTTATAGCGTCGTTGTTGATGAAAACACTTGGCATAATCGATTAGGTCATCCCTCAGAATCTAAAGTTGATGTCATGTCTGATGTATTGCATTTAAAGAAAGCTAAGATGAATAAAAACACTTCTCATGTTTGCCACATTTGTCATATTTCAAAACAAAAACATCTTTCGTTTCAATTACGCCAAAACATTTGCAACGAACCATTCGAACTTGTTCATATTGATACATGGGGTCCATTATCTGTTTCCATTATTGATGGCTTTAGATATTTTCTTACCATTGTAGATGATTACAGTAGGGCTACTTGGGTGTATCTGATGAAGAATAAGTCGGATGTTCTGCATATTTTTCCTGGTTTTATAGCTATGGTTGAGACGCAATATAAGACTAGAGTTAGATCAGTTAGGTCTGATAATGCTCACGAATTGAAATTTGCTGCTTTATTCACTGAAAAAGGTATTTTTGCATATCATTCATGCCCTGAAACTCCTGAACAAAACTCTGTTGTAGAGAGAAAGCATCAGCACATACTGAATGTAGCTAGAGCCCTTCTCTTTCAATCTAATGTTCCTTTTGAGTATTGGGGTGATTGCATTCTAACCGCTGTATTCCTTATCAATAGACTTCCTACTCCCATTTTAGGTAACAAATCTCCGTATGAGAAACTAACGCAAAAGGTTCCCGAGTATCAACATTTAAAGTCCTTTGGGTGTTTGTGTTACTGTTCCACTTCCCCTAAGTCTAGACACATATTTGAACCACGGGCTAGAGCTTGCATTTTTTAGGATATCCAACGGGTTACAAGGGTTACAAGCTATTAGATATAGAGACACATGCTATTTCCATTTCTCGTCATGTCACTTTCCATGAGGATATTTTCCCTTTGATTTCATCCACTCTCACGGATGTTACAAGGAACTTCTTTCCTCATATTCATTCTCCTGCTATCCCTGATGTTCAATTGCCTCTTGCGCAAACATCTTCTGATGCACATCCTCCTAATGATGTGTCATCTTCCGAGACCTTGATTCCCTTCGTCTCATAGACGAAAACACCCCCCCCCCCCCAAACACTTGCAGGACTTTCATTGCTATAATATTACTAGTACTATTCTATATCCGATTGCCAACTATATCTCTTATTCAAATCTATCTGAGCCTTTTCGTGCTTTCCTAAATGCTATTACAAACACATTTGTACCACAAAAGTTCTCAGAGGCCAAGAATCTTGAGGTATGGTGTGATGCAGCGAGAATGGAGATTGGTGCTATGCAACGTACTCATACGTGGAGTATCACTTCTTTGCCGCCAAACAAGAAGGCTATTGGTTGCAAGTGGGTCTTTACGATCAAACACAACGCTGATGGCAGTGTTGAGAGATATAAAGCACGGCTGGTTGCCAAAGGTTTCACTCAACAGGAAGGTTTGGATTACGAGGAAACATTCTCTCCTGTTGCTAAACAAACCTCAGTCCGTATGCTTCTCTTAACTGCAGCAAAGATGAATTGGTCAATAAGTCAACTTGACATATCCAACGCATTTTTGAATGGTGATTTGGATGAGGAAATATACATGAAGATTCCTCCGGGTTACGCTGATCTCCAAGATGATCCATTGCCTCATAACGCTGTGTGTCGCCTTCACAAATCCATCTACGGTCTTAAGCAGGCTTCTCGTCAAGGGTTTTTGAAGCTATCCTCTACCTTACTGAGTATGGGTTTTGTCAAATCATAGGCGGATCACACTCTGTTTGTTAAGTGTGTGAATGAGACTTTTCTTGGAGTTCTCGTCTATGTTGATGACATCTTAATAGTCAGCAACAGTGATCAAGTTGTGGTAACCTTCAAAGATGATTTGAAGACTCACTTCAAGTTGCGAGACCTTGGTGTAGTAAAGTACTTCCTTGGTTTGGAGATTGCGCGTTCTGCACAAGGCATCACTGTGTGTCAACTGAAGTACATCTTGGAGTTACTCACGAGCACTGGTTTTCTGGGAAGTAAACCCTCCTCTATTCCTATAGACCCGAGTGTAAAACTTTCCAAGGATTCTGGAATTCCATTAACAGATCCTTCCTCTTACCGCAAGCTGCTCGGGAAGCTCATGTATCTGCATACGACACGTCCTGATATATCATATGCAGTTAATACATTGTTCCAGTTCTCCCATGACCCTCGCAACACTCACCTTAACGCTGCCCACAAGTTGTTAAGGTACTTAAAAGGGACGGTTGATTAGGGATTATTCTATCCAGCTGATAACTGTGTGGTTTTGCGGATGCTGATTGGGCAGCTTGTACTGATACAAGACGCTCTATCTCTGGTTCTTGTATGTTCCTTGGTGATTCGCTCATCTCCTGAAAATCCAAGAAACAAGATATTGTATCTTGCAGCACTGCTGAAGCAGAGTTTCGAGCTATGGCCTTAGCAACGAAAGAGATGATATGGTTATCTCGTTTACTCACTGATCTTCGTATACCATTTCAGGAACCGGCTTATCTGTACTGCGACAATACTGCTGCGATTCACATTGCCAATAATTCAGTATATCATGAGCGCACCAAACATGTGGAACTTGATTGCTATAAGATTCATGAATCGATTGACTGTAGTTTCCTGAAAACGATGTATGTGAAATCTGAGAATCAACTTACAGATGCTCTCACGAAGGCTTTACATCCTGCACCTTACCGAGAGCTTATAGGCAAGATGGGAATCTGCAACATCTTTGCACCTCCATTTTAAAGAGAGCTATCAACGTGTATATATCATTATTGTACAGCTTTCGGTTATGAGCGGTTTTATCATAGATTAGATTGGTTTAGATTGATTTAATGTATATCAAATGTGTATATATAGTTTGTACCAACATTATTCAGATTAACGAGAATATCGAGTTTACATTTTGTTGATCAAAGTGTAAACACTAATAGATTCGAATAAAAAAGAGAAGATATGGTTTGGACTTACCCAGAAATTTCAAAGGAAGATTTCATGAAGCTGTTGAAAGGGTTTGTGGATTTGCTCATCCTTGCATCTGGGTTTCAATCTTCTGGTCTTCCCGCTCATTGGGATGCTGAAAATTGCAGGAAAGCTCTTCAATGGGGTCTCTTCTTCGAAAACGTTGGTTTACTCTTCGCTCTCACTCTCAGTACCACTCCTCTTTCTTCCGCTACATTGTTTGTTTTCATTGCCCTCGTTTTGTTTATCGGAGAATCCTTTTTTTGTAGATGTTAAGAAGCATAACTAGTTCAGATTCATTTGGGGGATCTATGAGAGAGATCGACGAAGCTATATCCGAGATGAAATCCAACCCCTTGTTCCCAAAGGTTGTTCTTTTAGGTTTGGCTTAATCACTATTTCTAAACCGTAATTGAAAACGAAATCTGGATTCTGATTTTCTGGAATTGGTGTTTCTTTGGGAGGAAATTTTCAGGGTTTAGAGAATCTATCATCAATTACTCTCTCAAAGGGAAGAGAATTTGTCTTAGAGCATTTGCTGAACAACTCAACATTGAATGATAAACAACTCCAAGCTATTCTGGTTGCAGCAGTTGAATCTGGTGACGGTATCACAGACGTAATCGATGAGAGGCTCTGCAAGAGGCAATCTGTTGTGTCATGTGTATCAGCACTTGAGAGAGGTTTGAACATTCTTTCTAAAAACATAGAGCCAAAAGAGTTTTTACAGAGAGAAGACAAGGATACAACTTTCTTGAGGTATGTATGTATGCTTTCGAAGCATGAGAGATAGCATATAAATTGCAGTAATCTTATGGTACTTGTTGATGATCTTGATGTTGTTTCGTTTTCTTAGCCGGAGACAACAGCCTATTGAGCTTTCAACATGGAACATCTGGCAATCAAAAGGTCTATCTTATTTTCTCAGTAAGAGAACGTTAAGGCTGGTTTCTGGTGTTAGCTTGATATTTTCTGCACCAAAAGCTCAGTGGACAGAAGTGTTAAGGAGACTGGCTGAGAAGGATGATGATATATTCATTGAAAAGATTGTAAGTTTTTTCTGATTATTGAACTAGTTGTATCCAACTTTTAGCTTCTTCTGATTTTGTAAGAAATGGTTGGTCACTCTTAACTTGAGCACTTTGTGGTGATATTTGTTGAAGAGCAGGAGCTATTGTTACTAGGATGCGTAACAAGCAGATGGGCTCATTTAATCGAAGGTTTCATGTCGGTTTCTTACAAATCTGTCACTGTGTCCGAACAATATGAGGAGTTGTGTAAGCTGCTTCTTCAAAGATCTAAAACCTTAAAACAGAACGAGATTGCTCTGGATTATAAGGTCACTGTTTTCGATTACAACCAGTTATCGAAATATTTAATTGCTATATGCGTAACCATGTTTCTAAGTTTCTCTGCTTTCTCTTGAATAGGTTGAAGAGATTCTTGAGTATCTAACAGAAATACTGGAGAGTCGTTCTCATCATCTCCTCTGGAAATTGCCTTGTGCCCTCACCGCAGCTGCAATTCCATCATGGTAATTTTCAACTGTATAATTCATCATTTTAACTTTTAGTTTACTTAGAAGTCTTGTTTTCTGGCTTCGAACAAGAGGTTGATTACAAATAAGACCAGTGAATGTGCTTGATGTTATTCTTTTGTGGTTATGTGGTTGAGAATTTATAACGATTCTATCAGAATCTTCAATAATTGAGTATATTTCAACTTGTAGCCAAACTCATTTTAGCTAAATAAAAGTCTTGCAAGTGCTCTTTATGCACCGTGTTCTTTCTTTTGTGATGTTCCTTATTGACACACAGATGTTACAGTTTTGAGTGGGTGTGTGTTCTGTCACAGGTCACCACTGTTTGGTCTGTATTTTGGCGAAATAGAGAAACAGTTGAAACTAGACCTCTCAACAACAAGGTTAAGTTTCTCTCTAATCATCAGTTTCACATTGCTATTGAATTGAACCTAAACGTAATCTAGAAACCGAAATCTATATATCTCTCTCCTTCTCTTCTGCAGATCTTGTAGCTGCGATAAAGATCTAAACGAGCACAGGGACTGTAAGTTACGCAACTACCTTGTACTTAACCATGTGTCTTTCTACTGCCTTTCATTTTAACTCTCCAAAATCGTTTTCTCAACAGCTATACCTTGAATTATTATAAATTCCCTCCGAGATATTTTGTTGTGCAATGACCTTGATAGTATTGTGTTTATGTGTTTAGGTGAGCTTGCAGAAAGAGTTTGGTCCTTGTACGTATTCCATATTTTCTGCAGATCATGCCACCAAACAATTTGAATGGCCATAGATCATCACTATCTTCAAGGTAAAGATGACATTGATGTGAGATGTTTTGTATACTGTATATGTTATAGCATATAAAAAGCTGGCTTATTAGCAAATACGTTTGCGATTAGATGAAAATACAAAAGTAGAGGGGTTTTGCCTTCAATTTCAATCACAATTGGTCTAAAAAATGGTTTTGAATGTTGATGGGTAAGTAAGAGAACGATCCAGAAACGAAAATTTTGTTTTCTGGTTCGAGATATTTCCTTTTGCTTTAATGTTTGGTTGTTTCGAAATTGAATTCTCATTGTTATCAATCGTTGTCTCTAGGTCACGTTTCTTTACTTTTACGTCAGGTAAACAAGAAAGCACTTAGCGCGTGGGGTCTGCTTTTAGGCATATCTTTAATCTTTTCGGGTATATATCCTAAACAACGTCGTCGTTTTATGCTATGGACGGTTTTATAACAACCGGTTCTTTTGACCTAACAGTCAAAATCTCACTTCTGCCTAATCTTTCCAGCAATTTCAGACAATCCAACTGAAAAAGAGTTTGCGTCAGATTATATGCTTTTTGATGATAAAGTTTTTATTTTTGTCAAAAGTGGAATTATTCGTTCGTTGAGATTTTGATTCACCGTTGTCCGTTGGTATATAAAATAAAGTTGTAATTTTGATTCTCCATCAAAAAGTGGGACGTGTTATGAGTCTTATGACCCGTAAATTAGGCTTTGTGATGTGGATCTGACACTAACCAAAATAGCAAACTTATCTATAACCTAAATATTAAAATATGATATAACAAAGCATCAAGTATTTTACCACTAAAGCAGATTCAAGCTTAGGAATGTTGGTGCGTGAGTAAATCTAAACTTATGGACGACAACAAGTATACTAAAAAGAAAATAAACCATATAGTTCTTGTAATTTATGATTAACAACTACTACTATCATTATATTTTGTGTTTTAATGAAAACTAAACCACAATAAGTAAAATAAAAGGTGCATGAAATAACACTTTATCTAGTGCGTAAACAAGTGTGAACCTGAGATATGAAAAAACATAATTTTTGTATATTGTTTCTTTTTGTTTGTTAAAAGGGTCGTTTAAAAACCTAGCTAGACCATGATTTGCCTATAGATGATTGTGTTTAGCCAAAACTATGATGTAAATACGTCACGGGGTAGTCTATAAAAGTGGTAATAGATTAAATTATTGCTATAACATTTCACTTTTTTCTGTTAGACAAAAAATTGGATATATGGTGGAGAATGATGCACTTTGGACTATTCTTTGACTATATTATACACTTTTAGTCCACGAATTATAAACACACACGTTGCAAACACGATATCCTCTCTCTCTCACTTTCTATCAAATGTTAGCTCTTTAAATATATTTCTCATTCTTTGCTTCTTCGTTACATACTTACATCTAAATTTTCTCACTATCACAAATCACACACAGAGAGTAAAGAAGCTATGAACAAACAGTGTTTGAAGAGACTTCAGTTCCGGAAATGGGGAAAGAGAATCGGTAGTAGCTCAACGACGGCTTCAGGGAGTACGCTAGGAAACACAGAGGAAAGAGCGATTGTGGCGTTTGCGTTCTCGTGTTGCGGGAAACCGCGCGTTCTCGTGAAGCAGTTTGTTTGGAGGGTGAAATCGCGTTTGAGGCTGTCGCGGAAGAGTGATAGTAATAATATTCAGTGTAGCTATGATCTCCGGAGCTATCATCTGAATTTTGACGACGGTTGGTCTCGTCGATGGTGATTTTTCAATTATTATTATTACATACGGAGTCATTTTATTTTCGTATTTTGTATATACTCAGTTTCTCAATCTACAAAGATATTTTGGTTATCTTCGTCTTTCTTGCGTGCAAACATTTGCAAGATCTTGAAATTTTTGTTCACATGCTTTGTATTTTTGTGTTGATTAAGATACCTTGTCAAATATAGCAACAAAATTTTATCAGGCTTGTGTGACTATATTCTTTTTTTGTTTCTTAATTAGTACAAATAATCTTATACTCCCTCCACTCATATTCGTTTGTTTCACAAACATAGGTGTTCTCGAATTGTGTTTCATTTCCTAATGTATCCATGCCAATTAGAAACAATGAGAGCGTTTAGATTTGGTATTACAACTAGTTTTCTAAAACGTGTAAAAATCCAAAAACATACAACTTCAAGGCGACGAGGGGATTGTGGGATTATCCATTTATGATTTATCTTAGTTTTGTTATTTCTTACATGTTTATTTAACGTTATTTTTACGGTTGATGTTGATAATATGTTGTCTTTTTTTATTTGTTTGTTTAACAGCTGTTTTTCATTGATCATAGCTGATAAAACTGGTCCCTGACCTTTTGTAAAAGTGATCTAAATCACATTTGCCTCTGTGCAAAGAACCATATAAATTCATAATACAAACTTTAACCCCCAAAATATTGATGTTGTTGATGATTTTGTAAATCCATAAAATGACTATAATAAAAGGCCATATTAAAAGAAATTGATGTGGATGAAAAAATTTTAGGCCCCAGGTAGGATAAATAACGATAAAATATTCAGAAAATTACTTTGAAAATCTAATGTTTTGAAGATGATTTTTTTTTGAAATTAAAGTGGAATAATCGCTGTCATTTTATAATTTATGAAGTAATCAAATCAGTTGCCTAACACTTATAAATAAATATAAGTAAATGCCCCCACGATGTTTCTAATTACCAATCTGATTTTTGTCTTTTGATTTTTTGATTTTTGGAATTGAGTTATTTGATCGAAGGGGACACTAATACAAAACAAGTAGGCTCAATGCAAATTTTAAATTAAAATATTAGGTATAAAACTCGCGCTACGCGCGAATCTGTATTAATATTTTGGTTTATTTTTTTAACTACTATCTTTAAAATTATTAAAAATTATATATATTTATAGAAATTTTTATTTATATAAGACAATATAATATATAATATGTAATTTATCCTATTTTTATTTATAAATTTTTAAAAAATATTAGGTAAAATAATAACAATGACACCTAGGTAAAATAATAACAATGATACATATCGAATTATTCAACTTTGACGTACATATATATTTGATTTTGAGAAATATCATCTTGCTAAGATTTTGGTATTGTTTTCTGTTTTCTATAGAATTTTTATAGTTCTTTTTTCTTGAAGGTTTATGTGTTCAAATATTTAGTTTTTTTTATTGAAAGTCGTATTGATGTTGATTCGCATTTAATTTTGTTAGGAAGCTGTAATGATCATGCAAAACCATTTTTCCTTCTCCATCATGTCTTCCAAGAGTTTTATGTTATATTTTTATTCAGTTTTCATTATTTTAATTGTTAAATCAAGTTGATTTTTTTAAATTGATAATTGATAATGGTTATTTTTTTATACATGTATTGTTAATTGTTAATTTTTTTTATTTAACTTTTAAATTTTTAAACTATATTAATATTTTCTGATATAATAAATATATTGATTTAGATAAATCAAATTAAATTTACTTTTTTGTTGGACATAATTTGTTAAATTAACTTTTAATGTTTTAATTATACTTAATAATTTTTGTTTTGATTTAAAAGCTGATGTGAATCAATTAAATCAAGTTTTTTCATCATAATCATATTTAGCATTTTTTTATTTAATGAATATGCTGATGTGGACCAATCATATCGAGTTTTTAATCACATGTAGATGTACTCCCTGCATTTAATTCCACTTTATTTTTTGCGCTTCGCGTTACAAATTTTTGATAATTCAATCAATCTTTTTAGATTTCCAAATATTTCGATTAGAAAGACGAAATCAAATAATTTGGGCCAAAATAAAACGTAAATGGGCCTATATTCCTATAGACACGAAACGCAACGTTTTGGGTTGTTCGTCTCTCTTCTCTCGCCGAGTGAGAGAGCAGAGAAACTCAGCCATGACCGTTTACAGCGCGCCGCCGCAATTAAGCTTTCCGTCGTTCACAACCACGACCACCTCGTTTGCGCCACTCTACGTAAGCCCTAGAATGTCGCAACAATCTCCAAAACCAAGCGCGAGCACCAGCATATTCACCTCCGCCACAAAGCTACTCTGGGGTCCATCTCTTCCTCCGGGACTGCTTATCTACACCGCTCGAACAGCCTGGACCACCGTATGGCAGCTAATGATGACCCAGCTCGCTCCATCAGATTCATCCGGGTCATACACCCGACCCACTTCCAAATTCCGCCTCGACCCAACCCAATTCGCTTCCGCCGCTTCCTCGGAGCTCCATCTCTACGTTGGTCTTCCTTGCCCCTGGGCTCACAGAACCCTAATCGTACGCGCTCTCAAGGGTCTACACGACGCCGTTTCTGTCTCAGTCGCTTCTCCGGGTCAAGACGGGTCGTGGGAATTCAAGGATAACAGTATCCCAATAACGGATAAGGATAAACTTATCCCGAGTTTGGATAAGGCAAACCGGTGCCGGAATCTGAAGGAAGTGTACAAATCGAGAACCGGTGGTTACGACGGGAGGTGTACGGTTCCGATGCTGTGGGATTCAAGGAAGAAAGATGTTCTCTGCAACGAAAGCTACGATATCATCGAGTTCTTCAATTCGGGTCTTAACGAATTTGCACGAAACCCTGATTTGGATCTCTCTCCACCAGAATTGAAAGAGAAGATCGAAACTTGGAATCAGATTGTGTACCCTAAAGTTAACAATGGCGTTTACAGGTAACATCATGAACACAAAGCTTATAGAAAAATTAACAATGGCGACTGAATTGTTCACATTTTGATGCGGCTTTGCTCAATAGCTCGTCTTCTTGATACTGCAATGTGTTTTGTTGCTTTGTGTACCCTAAAGTTAACAATGGCGTTTATAGGTAATGGGAAAACACAATCAACAATACAAAGCTTTATAGAAAGAGTTAGCAATGGCGATTGAATTGTTCACATTTTGATGCAGTTTTGCTCAATAGTTTTGTCTTCTTGATGCGGCAATGTGGTTTGTTGCTAAAGTTTATGGCTTTTTGTGTACCCTAAAGTTAACAATGGCGCGTTTTTGGAAAAGAACATCATCATCAACACAAAGCTTATAGAAAGAGTTAACAATGGCGACTGAATTGTTCACATTTTGATGCTGTTTTGCTTCATTAGCTTTGTCTTCTTGATGTGTTTGGTTGCTAAAGTTTATGGCTTTATGTTTTCGAAAAGGTGTGGATTTGCGCAGAGCCAAGAAGCGTATGATCAAGCAGTGAATGAGATCTTTAGTACTTTAGATGAGATTGAAGATCACTTAAGTGGTAACAGATACTTGTGTGGAGAAAGGCTAACATTAGCGGATGTATGTCTGTTCACAACTCTGATTCGTTTCGATCCTGTTTACAACGTTCTGTTCAAATGCACCAAGAAGAAGCTCGTCGAGTACACGAATCTTTATGGCTATTTGCGCGACATTTACCAGGTTTGTATATCAAATCTTTACTAGTTTTTTTTGTTTTGTTTTCTGAGCGTTTGAAAGTGCGTTATCATCATCTCTGCGTTTGTTGTTGTTCTTGTTGTAAAACAGAGTCCTGGTGTTGCGGCTACTTGTGACCTTCCTGCTATAATGGATGGGTACTACAAAACGCTGTTTCCGCTAAACGCAAGTGGAATTCAACCGGCCATTTGTTCGTCTGGCGATCAAGATTCTCTCTTGAGACCTCATAACAGAGACCTGGTTGGTAAAACGATTTAAGCACTGCATGCGGTTTAAGCGGAGAAAGCTGTACATAACTCAAAATGATAGGAGCACTCAAAAGTATCATATTGTATCTGATTATGGTCTGATATTTTAGATTATACTTCCTTGTAAAACCATATATACAACATATACGGAGAGCTCTTAAGTTGAGAACAATTTCAAAATTCTCTTCTAAATTGTGTATAGATATTTTATAATGTTAAGCCAAAAGCCTTAGCCATTACTTATTTGCCAAGGCTTTTGTAAAAAGAATACCATGTTCTTCACACATCCTCTCCTGAGCATAGCAAAGAAAACACTTATTTTTATTTTTATTTACAGCGCAAGAAAACACATTAGTTACAGGATTTTAACATACATCTTAACAAGAATTTGTAAATAAAATGCAGGAAGAAAGTATTGGGAAGCTTTGGGGAGTTTAACATTCAACATCTACTAAACCTAAACAACACAGGAAAGGAGAAAAAGAAAACAATTTAGTATACTGGAAAAAGGTTTTGAAATACTCACGTAAAGGTAAGACCAATCTGCTAAGTTCTCTCTCTCTCTCTCTCTCTGGCTCCATCACCATCTTCTTCTTCCTCTTCTCGCACTTGGGTGTACGATGTTTTCCCTAGCTTCAGTGAAGAAGACGTCCGTGGATCTCCTTTACTCCCAAATCAGTTTCGTTTTGGTGAGGTGAATGCAGATACCTGCAGCTTGTTGTGAACAACTCGGTTGCCACATCTCCTAACGCAGCCAAAACTGCTCCAACATTCTTTAATGACTCTAGACAAAGAATGAGTAGAACTGCTCCAACATTCCCGTTTTCTACTGAATCTAGACGAAGACATCGAGAGAAAACACCAAGAGACAACATGCAAGACACATATCAGACTAAGCAATTCACGAAAGATCAAGACCGTACCTTGATGAGTAGAGACCTGAAACGAACATCTGCAAAAAGCTCGTCTTTTGGAACAATGAGCGCACCAGCATCAGGAGCAGTGTCTCCGCCATGACCAGTTGTAGGCTCTTCAAAACTGTGTCCGGACTGTTCAGAGTCGAAGCAGAGCCTCCTTCACCTCTGCGTCGCAGCCTCTTCAAAGGAGGTTAAACATGACAGAAACTCAATAAATGTAAGAACAAAAGGTATTCCGTTGACATACCTCACGTGCCTTCTTCTTCCCTCTGTCCCGTTCTGCAGCCTGAAAACATTTGATCAACAATTAAGCGAATGCATGATGATGACAAAGCAAAAGAAGCTATTTAAGAGGAAAGCATGATGATATAAACAACAGAAATCAAAATTTCAGTGAGTTAAGGAGACAAGTAGAGATACCTGAATCTCTTGGGCATCGAAGATAGCATCAGCGAGAGCCCTATAATTGTCCTCGGCAATCAACTCCCAGTTCATCTTCCTCATCAGAAGCTCTTTCAAGACCAACTGTTAAAGTGAAACACAGACCCAAGCAAATCAACATCTAACCTAGCTGTAAAGGGAAACCGAGATTAGCACAAGAACTGAAATTTGAGGAAATCAGAGAAATAAAGCCAAAAAGAACAACTGCTAAAGCAAAAGGACAGACACGAATCAACATTTCAGACCCAAACACCTAAACCTAGCAGCAAAGACAAACCTGTAGCTTGTTGTGAATTTGGTACGGTGAATGTAAATACCTGTGAATACCCTGTTGAACAGTTAAGCAAAAGACAAACAGAGAATAGCAGAAAAACGCAGCAAAGACAAACAGAGAATAGCAGAAAAACGCAGAAATTAGAGTTGAAACAAACTTCACAGTTTCAACGAATACGAGAAACACGAGAGAACGGCTCATGGCCTTTCTTGGGAGCAGGTTTCTCTCCAAAAACATTCCAGAACTTGAGAGACTCATCTCCTGCCGCTGAAGCTACGGTACAACCATCGGGATTCTGAGCCATATACAGAACTCTTGATGTATGAGCAGTGAACTCAGCCATTTTGAGCATCGATGGGTACTTCCAGAGCGTAAGCTGGTTGTGAGGAAACCCATGTGAGCTAAGTAGCTCTCTTTCCTTGCTGCTCCACAGCAAAGAACAAACTTGAGAACCCGTGTCTACTGAATTCAAGCAAGCCCCTGTCTTAGTATTCCAGAACTTTATCGTCTGATCACCGCCAGTTGCAAGCAAACTGCTCTGGAAAGGACACCATGCGAGAGCTTTAACCGCGGATGTGTGTCCCCTGAGCCTGTGCAGCCAATTCGTATTCCTGGACTGATCCCATATGTGTACCAAACTGTCGTTGCCACCACTAGCTAGTATCTGACCAGACCACTTGAGACCACACACCTCTTGAGTATGACCCTTGTAAGTTCCCACAACGTTTGAGCCCATCCGCATATCGTTGTTGGTGATCCGTCCGTCGAATCCTCCCGTGGTCAGGATGTGATCGTTCCACGCCAATGATCCTACTCTCCCGTGGCGGCAACCTTGAAACGTTCTCAGTACAACTTCGGCTACAGAATCCCAAAGCTGCACCTCGCCGTCGTTGAGCCCCACCGCGAGGTAACGACCATCAGGCGCCCAGTTCACGCTAGTGACGGGTCCGTTCTCTTCGTCAGCGGCCTCAAGCTCAGATACAGAGCCAGTGGAAGCATCCCAGAGACAAACAGTGTCTCCCAACGCTATGGCTAAGACATTGGCACTGCCCCAATCAAGCAGGTTGAGCCCAAAGTCTTCCACAATATTCCAAGCATCCAATACTCTCTCTGGGTTCTGAGAAATTCGTCTGCGAGGCGCCAAGTGTTTGATAGGCTGATAAAGAGAAGAAGGTTTGCTACTGAAGGCAAGAATCCGAGTGCGATTGAGATCCAAAGCCTCTAACAATCGCGTATTGTAGGCTTCTCTCGATGGCGATACTTCTTCTTCTTCTTCAGCCTTTCTTCCCTCCGTAATTTTCCCGAAATCCATGGCGGATCTGTAGGGAATGAATCTGTCATATTCAATTCTCTGTTTATGCATTGAAGAGAAACCTATATCAAACAAAAAAACGGCAAACCGGAACTACACAACGAAAACCCTAAATTCGATTTCGAAGACAAAACAGATAATACCAGAATTGATCAGATCAAACGCAGGTGAAAGCTAAAGCTTCGGTTTTTCAATGGAACGGAGTTTGATTTTGGTTCGTGCTCACGCGAAAAGAAAGCAATGGCGAATAGAGAGAGATGGTGCGAAGGAAGAAGAAAAGTAACACAATTAATCAAAACGCGGCACTTTAAGTAGCTAGCAATCAAAACCTAAAACGGTGCGTTTTAGGGTTTGCGGGTTTGGTCACACTATAATAAAAAGCCCAGAGCCCATTAATAATTAATTAAGCCCGTCAATACAAAACATTGTGTACAATGGACTTTGTAATTTTATAATATTGACCGCTGAAAAAAAAAAATACAGTAAATTTTTATAAATTAATATTTAATAAAATAAAATACAGTAAATTTTTATAAAATAATACAATAATAATTTTTTTAAACTCTTAGATAAATACAGAAAAATGATCTCTTATACACATATTCTAACTTTATGTTTCACGTATACATTATACACCAAAAAATTCTTTCACATAACATTTCTCGTTTGAGAGTGACGAAATTGTTCTTCTTAAGTACGAAAGAGTTCTGGTTTTTTTTTATAATACTCGAGTTTTTTGAATTCGCAAGAGGCGGAAAGTTTTGATATTCTTCACAGTTGATGAGGAAGAGAGTTTTAAAATTCATCTCCGGCGACAATACACGAGCTTCGAACTTCACTGCCGACTACAATGAGAATTCATCGACGACAACGACAGCTTCGAGTAGAGATGTCAATATGGGCTGTGGCCCGTGGGTTCGACCCAACTAAGCCCACTGCAGGGCAGGTTTGGACTAAAAAAAGGTAACCCAAAAAACAGCGGGTCGCGCGGATCTGACCCGTGTGGATTTCGGGTTTTACGGTGTGACCCATCACAGGTTCGCGGATCTGCGGTCTAAACCGCAAAATTCATGAATTTTCTCATTTTCTCCAAACTTCATCGAAATTCATGCGATTCAGATGTGATTTCATCTTGATTTTGATGATTCTCCACTACTGAAATGATGGAAGACTTTTGTTGCGATAACCAGACACTGAATCAGGTTAGTTCAATGAAACCTCTTTGGAAAAGTTTCATAATTTCTTTGTTTTAACATTGAATCTTTACCCCTCAAGCTTTATCATTGGAGAGCTATGTATATTTTTGAATCCATGAGAGAGCAATTGGATTTCTATTGATCTCGATTCCTGTCTGATAACATGTTTTGAGAATTTTTGGTGGGCTTCTTTTTGTAGAGTATAAGCAAGAACAGGATATGGAGATTGAAAGTTGAAACACTTGAATCTATACGCTGCAAATATGGGATAGTGAAAGAAGTTAAGTTCTTTAGATTTGTTTATACACAACAATTTATCTATCACTTTAGATTTGGGATCGTAACATTTCCAATGCTTTCATCTTTCGATATTAACACAAACTCTTTCGACGAGGCTTTGGACATTTCCAATGAAACATTAAGCTTGTGACCCTTTCAATGAAATGCTTATACATCCACTGAAGACACAAACTACCATTTCGATATCAACACAGACTCTTTCGACGAGGCTTTGGACAGGTTTTACACTTTGCATTTTGCTTTTAATTTTGTCTTATATCGACTTTTTTTTTTTGGACACTTAGATTATTGCCTCTAATAGGGTTTGCGCAGTTCTTTATCAAACCACTAATGTCAGCTGATGCAACCATGAGGGAGATCAAGGCCGTTGACTCTGGTTAGCATTTTTTTTACAATTTCATTGATAGCTTCTCTTTTGTAGTTTGTTTGACTAACAAATTGTTGAACGATTCCTCTTTTTTTTTTCCAGAGAATCAGCAAAACTTGTTGTCTGATTCTTGGCGTATGACTCAGGTATTTTCTCTTGCTCCCAAGAACAAATGTCTCGGTTAATTGTATAACTGTTTATCCCTTTGGTTATTTATCACTCAAGGATTTGGATTACTGGATTTAGGATTTTGTTTTGTTTTGACTGGGGCTTTAGGTGATTTCAGAGGGGTTTTTCTGCAGTTTGATTCATCTTCTTGTGTTCCTAAACATTCAAAATTTTATTTTCTGGTCCTCTTGGTCTTTTGTGCAGTGTGATTGTCGAGGCTCTGAAAGTAGACAATTTGCAGAAGCTTTGCTCGTCTTTGGAACCTATCCTCCGCCGAGTTGTAAGTTCTGTTTGCTTGCTTTTGTGGGTAAAGGTGCTGCAGGGACAAGTTTATAGGGAAATATAACTAAGAAACTAAAACTGAATTTGCAGGATAAGTTTGGTGTGAGGTCAATCAGGGACAACAACTGATGCGGACATCAAGTCATCATCAACAATGGAGCACGGATCCAGGAGTCATGAAGTGGAGAACATGAAGCTGAGGAGATCTAAAGAGGCATTCGAGTGGAGTTCAGCCCAAACGGAGGTTGATATCAAGCATTCAAGCTCAACCAACACTTGGAGAGCATACTCAACTCATCCAGGGTTCATCACGAAGAAGAATCACCCAAAAAAGAGTTCACATGAAGAAGATATTGAAGATACAAGTTGGAAGATCTTCAATAGACCCGATGGAGACATGCGAGTACTAATAAAATTATTCCGGCCAAACCAAGACGAACCAAGCAACAATCCCGGATGTTTTGGAAACTTTATTTATAAGAGAACCGAGGAAAATTGGTTTCATGCCAAAATTCATTATGGTTTAAAAGTTATTCAACTTCTAAACCGGAGGATGCTCTGCTTGCCTTATTTGGGAGCTGGCGAGTTTAATCACTTGCAAACCAAACTTTGGCGACCAGGAGAGACATCTAAGCATTCAGGAGGCACATATTACAATCCAGGAGAGTCAGGAAACATCTTACAATGCACCATCACTCACAGGATCAGGCGGATCCCATTACTTACAAACTTTCCATATCAAGACATGTTCACACTTGGAGTAAAGGAGCACCAACGGCTACTTCTTCAAAGCTATAACGTTTTGGAGTTATTATCTACACATCCACACCTCTTAAGCTACACCAGACCTTACTTGATCAGGCGGATCACATTCATACTCAACTTACCATTTTTGGAGCAGAATTCCATCAAACCACAAAAGCTACTTTCTAGCCAAGACTTCAGCCTTTTTTATGATTCTTGGAAAAGGAAGATCGTCCCACAGAAGCTCACTTACACCCTCAAGCCATCCAGATACAAAGTCAGCAAAGAATCCCTTGATTCTAGCCATTCTCCCTATCACTCATCAAATGGGACAAAAATCCCTTTAATCATTCTTTTTGATATTTCTTTGATTTTTGCATAATTCTCTCTTAAGAGTTAATGTCTAGGACGTTGCCTGGGCCTATATAAGCTCATAGCTGTTTCATTTGTAGGACACCAACTTTTATCTAAGAAAATATAAAACCTTTGTTCTTTTTTTATCCAAAGAGTCTTCTTTGTTTAAACACTTTGTCTTTAGATTCAATTGAGTGATTCTTTGTTTCTACTGATTCTTGGAATAGATTTGTTTGTGTGATTCAGGCAAGGCTAGTTCCAACGGTTGAGTGAGTCAGCCATCTCACCGACTGAGCGAGTCAGACAACCCACCGATTGAGCGAGTCAATCACTATCATTTCCACCTCCATTCCGACTTCATCCTACATTCCGCACCATAAGCTTGGAATTCTCTTGATCATCTTGTGATCATAAGTTGAAGTGATTCCAATCTTATATCATCTGGTATCAGAGCTTCAAAAGCTCATATCCATCAGGTTGTGTCATTCCAACCTTTATCCTTATTTTCTGTTTATTATTTTTGTTTTCTTTCATTAATTAAAAAAAAATCTCATAAAAATAGTTTTGCTTTGATTTGTTATTTATTGTTTTGTTTATTGAATTTTATAAAATCTAAAATCCATAAAAAAGTTGTTTGCTTAATTTTCTGAATATTTTATTTTATCTAAAAGTCAAAAAAAAAATATTGTTCTTGTTTTATTTGCATCATTTAAATTTCGAAAATTCAAAAAAAAAAAAAAAAAACAAATTACTGCTATTTGTTATTTGGTTTCTTCAAAAAAACAAAGTTTATTTGCAGTTTGTTCTTGCTTTATTTTGCATTTATAAAATCTAAAAGTCTAAAAAATTATTGTCTTGTTTTATTTGCATAAATTAAAATCCGAAAATTCAAAAAAAAAAAATATTTGCAATTTGTTCTTGATTTATTTTGCATCTATTAAATCTAAAAAAATCAAACGAATTTATAGTTATTTGTTATTTGATATCTTCATTCAAAAAAAAAAAAAAATTGTTCATTTGAAATCATTCTTAGTTTCAGTTTATTCTCTTCTTCTAGATTATTTGCTTATAATTTTTAAGTAAACTTGATTCTGAAAATCTCTCTGTCTTTGTGTTTAAAAGGTACTCACAATAGAGTGGAGATCATGGATTATGATTCAGAGGAAGAAGAAGACTCATATGAGCACTCACATGAAGGTGACTCAAGTCAAGATGAGATCCTTAGCCAATATTCATGTTCTGAAGCAGAACAAGGAGTGGAGACGTGGTATTGTTCAGAAGAGGACTGTGAAGGCACCCCATGTCCTGAGAAGATTGATCATGAGCCCCCAGACTGGTATACAAGCCCCAATGCAACATGGTGTGAAGAAGAAGAAGATGGATGGGAAAAATTAGATCACAAAACAATGGAAGAGTCTTTGCGTAAAGATGAAAACTCTCAAGGAGTATATGAAGGAGGACCAGGCCGTGGAGAGCTGAATCTCAACCCATCATATGGCAAACAAGGCCCTAGTTATCAAACTCTTAATCTGGTGCAATACACAAACTCCAAATCAGTCAAGTGCCAAGGTAAGTATTATGTCCCTAATAATCCTTCAGAACTCACAAGTTATAAGTGTATGAACAGAGGACAGATTGCTAAGGACGTCCCAAGAAAGGAACCCACATCCTACATGAGATCAAGGCATAAAAATCATGTAACACTAGCAAGTGTTAAGAAAGGAGATCAACCAGAAGGCACAGAGGTAAGTACCTCAACAATATTTCAAAATCTTGACCAATTACTTGAACAAGCAATACACTTGGTTTTGTCAAAAGGAGTTGGGAAAGGCCTAGGTACAAAAGAGGGAACAGACCAAGCTGATTGTTGTGCTCCACAAGTAAACCTTGCAATGGCCCAGAAACCGAGCTCCAAAGATGCACCCTTAAAAAGAGAAGTTTCACCCAAGGCAACAACATCTAGCTCTAAGGCTATAACAAAGTCACCAGACCCACCAACCCAAGGTAAGTCTTCTAACTTTGTTAAATCTAAAGAACCAACATGTTATAAGTGCCATAAGAGAGGACACTTTGCTGCAAATTGTTCTATTAAAAAAATGTTGGTAGAAACTTCACTAGAAGAGAAAACAGAAAAATCTAGAGTTAGTGATAGTTTATATCCTTCTGAATTTTTAATTCCCAATTCTAGACTTATGCACTTGTCTTTGCCAAAGAGTTTTGATCCAGGAATAAGACAAGAAGAAAAGGAAAGCAGCAAAGAAGAAAGGCTACAAGGAGATCAGATTCAACAATTGCCTTGTCCAATGGAGGATGAGAAAGTAGGAGAAGAGCCATCAGATGCAATGCCAACACCAGCACGCCTAGATGAGCTAACTATGATTAATTCATATCAGTTAGAAGCTCAAAACTCTAAACAAAATTCTGAGAGTCCTGGAAAATCCTTAGTCATCTCTAGCCTTGAGAAAAACAGCAACCATGGAGTTCAAGTAAACAAAAAGCAATTGATGCTACAACTAGCTAATACCATCACTGTGAGTTTAAATATTTCAATGCCTATTTCTATAATTTTAAACTCAGATATGATGCACTTGCTTTTGTCCTTGAGAAGTTTTTCAGGTATAGACCATGTCCAAAATGCTGAGAGAGGAGATAGCCTCACAGAAAAGCCCCCAGACCAAACATTGTATCACTTCACAGATTTGGGAAACAAAAACACTAAGAGTGTTCCTCAGGTAAGTCATGTATATACTAAAATTATTTCTGAAGATTCAAAAGTAATGGACTTACTAGAATTGAGAAAAAGTGAGAACTCAATACCTTGTCTAAAACAGCAACAAAAGAAATTAGGCTTAACAAGTTTAAAGTTTTGTAAGAAACCCATAATGCACTTGTTTCTTGTCCAAAGATTTGAGATTATTTCAGGTACTAAGGGTATAAAACATAAAGACCCTTCACAAGAGGAGAACTTGTTGTTAAACCAAAGCAAACAAGCATCACCACCAAAGGTGGACAAGACCAAGGTTATCAAGGCCATAAAACAGAGGAGCCACGAACCAGGCCAGAACATAGGAGATATCCTATCCTTCCTGCTCAAAGGAGAACCACCAGACGTTCTACACTTCACCAAACCAAAGATGCATCAAGGTAAGGCTCTAAACTCCCAAAATATAATGAAAACTAACTTGCTCTTTCTTGGTGCAGGAGATATAGTTTCGAGGTCGAAACCTTTTGAAGAGGGTGAGTATGATGCGGACATCAAGTCA